TAAAAAAAAAAAAAAAAAAAAAAAAAAAACAACCTGGGTGTGACATTTGACAGAGACCTGACATTCAACAAACAAATTAACTCTATTGTAAAAGCAAGCTTTTTCAGCTTTGTCTTTTAGTCGAGATGAAGCCTTTTTTTAAAACACACATTATCTTGAGAGTTCATGCTTTTATCAGCTCTAGATTGGAATAATGCAACGGTCTGTATGTTGGTGTAAACCAGTCATTACTTTCTCCCTTTCAGTTAGTCCAAAATGTTGCCGCTGGCCTCATTACTAATGCATGTAAATATGAGCATATTACCCCTGTTTTGCACCCTCTCTGTTGGCTTCTGATACGTTTTGGGATCAATTTTAAACTTTTACCTTTTGATACTGGTATACATTACCCTCTTTTTTCTTATCATGGTTTTACTTTGACTTAATGTGAAACACTTTTGTCGGTGTTGGCTGTGTTTAATGTGCTATATAAATAAATTTTTACTTGGTCTGACTGACCTCCACCCTATTGTCACACTTCCTGATAGCAGCACTCCTCAAGCAGTGCAGTGTAATACCTACAGTACTGCTCCACCAACATGACATAGGACAGGGTCAACAGCACACAACTGTGTGATGACACAACAGGGAGCACTATAAACACTAGGACAACTCGTTCAGCTGCCGGGAGGTGCGTGAAGGCATAGTCACACATATAAACACACTCAACACCTTGCAGTTTCTTTTAGACACTGACACACACACCAGTGAGCATCTGCAGAGAGAATGTACTCAATTTGTAGCAGTGAGCATCTGCAGAGAGAATGTACTCAATTTGTAGCATTACACTGATATTTTAAAAACTTTTTTTTTATGTTTGGCCTAATTTTTCCAGTGACATTCCTAGTGCCACTATCTCTAACCTTAGTTGAGTCCTTCTCCAAGCTGAAATATTTGACTTCAATGTGAACATCTGATGTCATTAAATAGACAGACTGCTGCAGTTGGCATGATTGCATAGGTTAAATGGTTGAGTTATTGCAGAACACATTATCTTGTGCGTCCTTATCCAGCTTGTGCACACTGCACCGAAGTCAAATTCATCATGTCCACAGCCTCGTTCACTGCTCCACAACACAAAAATGTACTCCTAATATCTCTACACTAAGTCCCTTCTTAAATCTTGCATTATAAAATTCATGACACAGCACACTAAGGTCCAGTTTTAGCCCACTGTATTAGCACATACGACTGAAGTAGAAAAGAGACATGCAGCAGAAATAGAAACACGCCTCATCACATATCCAGGGAGGCTCTAATGGGTTGTGCCAATGTTGGCAGGCACTGATAGACACTTCCTGTTCTGATGCTGCTCTCAGTTAAGCCTGAACTATGGAAGAATCAGCTAAAAAGAGTTTAAACATGGGCAATCTTTTTGTGGTCTGTCAGTGGAAAAAGTACATAAACTGAGTGACAAGATATGGTCCAACACAGCTTTATTTACACTATTATACGAAGTGGTAACAACCACATTAAACAACCAAATCCTGGAATGATTGCTTTTGGGTCACGATGTGGGAAGGACTTCAGGGCACTAGCATGAGCCAAACACCAAAAACGCTGGATCCTAGAATTTTCATGATGCAACCAGACGCAACCAGACAACATATTTCCTAGGACCTTTTCTGCCTGGTAAAGGCCCACACCCTCCAACATCCCCAGTTTGTAATGATCAAGACAAAAAAAGTGATCTTCACATAAAACTGTCAGTGCTCCTTCAAGCATCACAGATCAGCCAGGTTTGTGCTCTGTTATTTTACAGGATTTATGGAGTTATAAGAACAAAAGTCTCAAAGTTATCATTTTCTGCACTTTTGAGTTACCGCTGTGCAAAGTGGTCTACAGCAGCTGTCAATTGTCTTGTGCAGCTTTATTGCACTGCTCCAGTGAGATTTCCTGGATCCTTCTTTAACAGAACACTTTAAAAATGGCTTGTTTTCTTTGTTTAGAAAGATCTAGGCGCTTTTGAAGATCCCTGTCCTCTCCTTGCCCTCTGTGCTAGTCACAATAACTGTCTTAACATCTTCACATGTGCTATAACACAGAAAGGCACCCCAACACGTTTTTGTATGTTGACTGTTTCGAGAAAAGACTGAAGAGAAAGCAAGACAGAAAAAAGGAGCACCATGGAGAGGCTGTTTGAAGGGATATCTGTCTCCTCTGGTAAATATCTGTAATTTGAAACAAGCAGATGAGTCCAAGCACAACAGGAAGACGAGTACATTGTTGTATAATTAATACCGCCTGATAGACATCTTAGGATGCCTGAGCAGCAACCGCCTTGGAGGAATCAGTGTTACTGCCACATAGACACATACAGAAACTCATTGACAAACACAAAAAGGGCAAACACACACACACGCACACACACGTGCACTCTTCCTGCATCAGACCCCCTGAGCAGTGCAGTCATCCTTCATCTATCCTCCCTCCAGCAGTGCCCACAGCTGTCACACAGCCCAGAATCCAATAAAGAGTCTGTCCACTTCTGGTAGCATTTGCATATCAAGAAACAGATGCTAATGATACACAAGAACAGACACGGTGTCCCATATGAAGATACTCGGCATCCGAAGACTTTATCGCTTTTCTAAAACCGAAAATACAAAAGCATGGGTGCAAAGCACTGATTAAACAGTACCAATCTGCTAACGTTGGCATGTCTAGCTATGAACAGCAGTAACACAGTGTTGCTTCCACAACTAAGAGTTAGCATATTGTTAGCTGTTAAGGTAATTTATGTGCTGTTACAGATTACACTAGGAAAAGCTACTTTGTGGACCACAGTAACACCACTGTCAGATGCTAACAGAGGACAACATTAGCAGCTCTGTCCTGTTCTTCATTGGATTTAGGGAAGTTTCTCCAAGATACCCAAACCGATGACAAAACAGTTTTCTTATTTAAAATTGATACTGTAATTGTTGCATAAACTTCGTGTTGCTTGCCCAAGTAACTCATAAGGTTCATTGAGTGGTAGAATGTAACTAAGTACATTTACTCAAATGGGCTGAACTGAACTTAAATACAGTTTTTGGGTCGTTGTACTTGTATATTAGCATTTTATACTTTATGCTTCTACTCTACCACAGTTTGGAGGGAAATACTGCACCTTTTACTACATTACATTTATTTTACCATTTTAGTTTGCATATTAAGATTTTACATACAAAACAGGAATCCATTTATAAAATGATGCATTTTGTAAAGTCAACTACCCAGAACACACAAGATTATATCAAAATAAATCATGTCAAGCTTTCATGCAAGCAACAGGCATGACCCAACAAGCCCCATCAGCCTGTGAACAATAGGCTGATGGGGCCTGTATTCTCCCGACTTTGAGTTTGACCATATTCACACAGCAGTACCATGTTTTCTCTGTCTGTGAACTTTCCACTGCAATGAAAGAGGCATTTTCTGTCAAAAACCTGACACTGCACTGATTTATGAGCAAAATTTAAACACAAAGGAAAACTCCACCAGATAACGGATACAGGTATGAAAAGGCTGAGACCCCTGTACTAGATCTGCTGTTGAGTCCTGATGGAGTGCAGTGATTACATCGAAACAAATCATAGCAAAGGGGGATTTTGTGTGAATGTGTGTGCTTATCATGAACATGTAAGGCTGACTGCGTACACACATTTATTACGTAATAGCTCTGCGTGCATATGGGTCAGCTGCAGTTGATCAGCTTGATGGTGACAGCAGGAAACCATGAGGAGGACTTAAGAGGAGGAGTACTGGGACAGAGATGAGAAGGGACATAAAGTGTTAGTGTTGCACTGTGGCCTTTACTGAACCTGTCTTTGCGTCCTTGTTTTTCTATACTTGTTGGGACAGAAAACTGGTAGCACTCTAGCTTCACGGGGACTGGTGTCACTTCTGGGGACCGGCAGCTGGTCCATGACATAGTTCACTGAATGTTACAAGAACAACGCGGTGTAAAGTTAGAGCTTTATGGCTTTTAGTTCAGGCTGTGTTTTTGTGTGAGGCTGCTTATGTGATCAGCCACTGTTACAAGTGGGGAGCTGGTGTACGAGAGCTGACGGCCTTGATGATTAAAACAGTGAAAAATGTGTTTAGTTCTGTGCATGTTGTCTTGTTATTATATCCATAATGTGTGTATTCCAGCGTTGCTTGACTTAAGTGTTTAAGTGTGTGCATGTGCAAATATCTATTCATTTTGTTAGGCAAGCTAGCTACTCAATGAACAGAACTGGACATGCCTGATAACAGGAAAATGACATCTTGCCCAGTTTCTTTCCACCTTGTGGTGGAACTCAAAAATTCTGTGCAATAATGTCTACATTCTAAGACTCTATATCTGTGTGTGGTGTGTATGACTCACCAGTAATAACCAGTGTGTGTGAGATGTTGGCCTCATTTAGCATCCGCTGGATGTGGTGGTTGTACAGGGCGAGCGCCTTTTCTTTCCCACTCTGTGGATTCACCATCAGCATCATCCGAAATGGACGAGACAACTCACTCATCAGCATCCCTACAGAGAAGAAAAAATGAAAGTGAAAGGCCAAAGTCATGTACATGCAATTATTCTTTCAAATCTTAAGCTGAAACTAGTCTTATTCTGAACAGAGAACAATTTCAAGATGAACGCTCCAGAAATTGCTATTTGGCTGAAATAGGGTCATGAAACAAGCTGATTCTGACAGATTATACTTATGAAAAAAAAATTATTTAAAGCCTCAATACGAGGTTAAAATACATTTCTGCATAACAGAACACATCTAAGAAAAGGATGTCAAGGAGCAGAAACGGCAATACAGCATAACGCATGACTACTGCACATCAGGGTAGCATGGTAACATGTTTTTAGGTCACACAGAGAAAACCAGGTAGATCAGGACAATGTCAGTGTAATGACTAACCTGAAACCCAGATTTACATGCAGATTGATAATAAGGTCACTTCTACCTAACCCATTACCTCTGTTTCTGGCAGCAGATGTTTTTCCCCTGAGCTTGGGTTGACAATGCAGAGAATAAGAAAGACTACAGCCAATGATGACCAGGCCATGTCTAAATGAAATAAGGTTGTTTATATTTGTATTTTTATGTGTTAAATGCATTCAGTGTTTTTGTAAACGTATTTAATCATCTGTTATTGTTCCTTATAGTGCGTCTGCAGCAATAACCCACTCGCATTTTCATCTTAGGTAATGTCTGCAGTACCATACACATTTTACTAAATCAATGGTGTCCATTGAACTAACAGGAGATTTGTGGATGCACACAAACAAATCACTGATAGGTTAAACACCATCTAACATACAAAATTACTGCTTACAACTAAAGACGGATGAGCCTTATGCTGGTTTACTGTTTACTTGCCCCTTGCATGGGGATATGTACATGCATATTGAAAGCCGTTGTACCAGAGTCAAAGTCCTCGTGTGTCCGACACACCTGGCCAATAAAGCTGATTCTGATTTTGATGAGCCAAGTAGTACAATAGCAGCCTCTGGTAATCTTTTTACTATACAAATGATGTATGTAAGTGTTCAAAATCTCTTGTGGATCAAACATATTTTAGAGGATTACACTGGGTTACGCAGATCATGCAAACACAGTTCCCAAATCTTTTTAAGCCACTCTGAAGATTACGGCCTCCCAGAGGCACACCATGGGGCTGAGTAAAAGGAAAAGCCTGAAACCTGTCCCAGAGTGTCTGAGGAGGATTAATTAAATACTGCATGCATGAGTGTGTGCTTTGGCAAAATAATAGATTATTAATAGATATTTGAGATGAGATGGAGAAAACTAAATAGAAAAATGTAGATATGATGGAAGTCAGGGTATGATGATCAAACTGTTCTCCTGTTATTGGAGGAACAAGTAGTTCTGAGAATGAAGATGTATTGAATGTTGGATTGCTGTTAAAGTTCAGTTCAATACAACTCCCTACCTCCCTGACAGTTTGGAGAGAACGTTCCCTCCTTTTCCCTCTCTCCTTTAAAAATGTTTTTCTAGCAGCTCAGGTGGGGAAAAAGTCAAATCAAAAGGAGAGAGAAGTGTGACAAGATCGCAGTGCAACTTGTGTACCTACGTGACCTTTACAGGTAGGTACACAGAGCTGTGTTGTGGAAACAGCATGTTCCACTAAGACTGTTTTCTGTTGCACCTTGTCAACGCACAAACTAAACAAACTAGCCCAGCAAGCAAAAACCCTACTGTGATGCTCCTCTTTGAGAGTGATCTCATTTTGCGATCCATCCGAACAAGTCTGAAAGCAGATAACGTTGCTGTACATCCAGTGGAGTCATCGTGATATTGCTGGAATGCAATTAAGTGTGTCTTGAATTGGAACATCTTAACCTCTGTTCACATCTGTCACTGGAGTTTAAACTGACGCAAACTCCTTAGTCTTTCAGGCTTTTTGTTCTGACACAAAGAAGATGTATGTAAATGGGTCATTTACCCAAAATTTTACACAGTGTGACAAGATCACATTCTATTATTAAAGTGACCCAAGTGAGGGAGACGGTCAAAAAGGCTGTAAAATGTGTTTTGACACATCACTAACTTAAAATCTCACAAGTATAATTACTGCTATTGATTTCAACTTCTTACTGTAGAAGATAGCAACCAGGCCAGTGTAACTCTATGGCACTGCTCCTAATGTTTGGAACTAGCTGACGTTCCTATGATCCACCATTAATGTTTAAAAAAAAACAGCTCTTACACTCTGGGTGTGGACTGATATGACTCCCTTTTTACCAAGGAGAATTTAATGTAGGTGTGTGGCTTGTCTCATGGTACTGCACTGTAAATATTCATTGTCATTTATATTCATTTTATAAAGACTATCATCAAGGAAAATTCAAAAATCAAGTTCAATTTTATGTATTAAAAGTCTGAGGACTGAAATGTTAATTGGAGTACAAGCAAACAACAGCGGGTGTTAAGTGGAGTGGGGATTTTTTTGGTTATTTTTTTCCACAATTTTTGATGGACTGCTAAAATTAAAAGTAAAAATGAGATTGTACCATATGTCAAGTTAAAAAGTGCAAGAAAATAGTTTGAAATTACTGCAGTTTCAAGTAACAGCACAGGTAGGATAGACTATGAGCAGTGTGTACTGTTAAACTGTAAAACAATAAATTCCTTCTATCATTCAGACAGGTCATAAAGGCAAAGCCACTTTCTTTGTCGAATGAATATTTCAGTGGAGTTGCTGTAAATTCAGAACATCTGGACTTCTGAGGGTAAACAACAGAAGTGCCTTCATGAATCAGCTGGCATGGCAGCTGGCACTGAGGGCCCTGACCTTGCTGTCTATGTGCTCCAGCACCCACACAACAGACCTTGTTGGCTAAAATCAACCCCATGCCACTTCCTGTGTGCCACCCCTCCCCTTCTCAAAACATCCCAGAATGCAGTGTCTGTACATTCGTCTCTGTGTGTCCCACACTCCAGCTTTCCTCCTTTATTTTTAGCTCTGTTGCAGCACCATCATTGCACGATGTCAAAAGTTCAACATACATCTGGAATGCTCAAATCAACAAAGACAACTCTATTTTAAAACCATCCCCAGTCTCTAACTGCACATTATTGACCATGCTACACCTGCAGTGGATCTTTTTATATAAGAGGACTGATATTGTGACTGGTTTGTTTGCATAAGGATGGATGTAGTGCTAATTGTCCAGTGATGATAGAGATTGCTGCTAATGAACATACATACTACAGTATATAATGTCCTCAACATTTATGTCTGTCCTGTCTTGTTACCAACTCTGTCAGTTTGAAACAAAAATTACAATAAAGCATGAAGAGATAACTTACCTAGACAAAACAAATTGTGGAAAAAAATTTATTACTGTCTTGAATGAAGTCATGGATCATAGATTAAGTAACAGCCAACTGAATGATACTCACAAACAGCAACCAAGACAAAAATGATAAAACACAAACCTGAAGTGAAAGCTCTGCTCTGTAAACACAGATCAAGCAATTGTAGTCGAGATGCAGAGTTCTCATCTGCTCTCTTCAAACCAAGAGCATGGGAACTATCCCAGATCTTAATGGAATAATCACTGCTGAGGTTTTCACCATAGGAAATAATAGCCTAAATGAAAGGGAAAAATCTGGGAGCCGGAAAAAACACATTTTCCGTCTTATAATGGCTACTTGGCTCCAAATAGAGTCTGAGAATAGACAACTTTCTCATAGGCACATTCAGTAGGATGTCCGCATCTTTTAACCAGACAGAGATGAAGGGCCAACTACAACCTTCAGTTACACATCCCCCGATTTAACTGGTTTGTTTCATTGTCACGACCATAAAACAGGCGAAATTCTCATTTGTTTGCATTTCTGTTAAAATGGCATTACATTTCTATTTTTATTGATCAATGTCCATACATTTTAAATTACCCAGCTTGTTGTTCCCTCCTTATAAAATTCAATTCAAATAACTTAATTAATCCCCTTGGGGGCAATTTGTTTGGAGAAGCTCATTTTACACAATAAAATAACATACAATAGACAGATAAGAAACACAAGATATGTAAAAAAAAAGATCTGAAGCCACATCCACCAGCAATAATCCTACAGTGTTTAGTTAACAAACTGCAGTTGTTACAAAATAAAATAGCATACAATATAGGCAGATTTAAAGCTGCATTAACTGACTTCTCCCCCCAATTTTTGACCATTAAGGACGAAGTGAGAATCAATCTTCAACAGTATCTCCTCCTCTTCTCCCTCCACTCCTCTTTGCCCCTGCTGCCCTGTCTCTGACACTAGGTCATATGTTGTCACGACAGCTGGGGACACTTGTATCATTCAGGTAGCGCAGCAGTAATAACCGGCTCCAGAACTAATGTATACAGAATATAGAGCCCCCAGAGCCTGTGGTTTTCAGTGGCACTGCAGTGACACAATGTCAAATAAAGAGGTTTACATTTTAGCGATATGCATACATATGTCTAATGTTGTGTGTAGCAGACGTATCTTCAGTAACACAAGCAAATTATACAGAGGAATGTTTTTTCCCAACTAATACTGATACAGTACTAATGTCCTGGCCAATATCACATCACGTTCAGTATCACATACTTGAAATGCATAACTATGAGTTATATGTGAAATGAGAAATTTCATGATACGCTTTGATTTATTTTCTAGTTGTGTTGATGGTGTAAAGTTTAACACATTTTGCATGGATTTCAGTGTTATGTCTGATATAAACTGAACCAAAAATTAGCTAAATTACTGGAAAACAAAACACTAACATTGCAGTCAGTTGGAATGACTGCAAATTACAACCAGAATAATTCAATACAAAGGTACAAAATTGAAAGTTGAAAGATCTGAAAGTCACATCCACTAGAAATATTTTACATGGTCATTTCTTTTAGGCTATCTAAAGCACCACCACTGATTGATAACTCACACCAACTCACTGCGATGTCCTGAGCCCTCAGTCAGTCAGTCAGTCAGTCATTCATACTGGTGTCTCACTCAACTTCTTTCAGAT